CTCCTGGTCCTGGAACAGGAGGGCACCAGCCTGGAGCACCAGCTGCAGGCACTCCAAAATGGCTGGAAGGGGCCAGAGCAGGCACATGGCCACCCCTGTCTCCATGGCAGACAAAACAAGGCAAAAGAAAAAAAAACCAGGCAAAAGCACTAGGTGGCAAAAGGCAGTGATGTCCAAAAGGCAGAGGGCAACCACCAAAACTGCTACGGTGTCAGTCCCTGCAAGTGGTACTAAAGCACAGAGCAGGAGAGAAATGGCTGTCCAGGGAGATCCCTTTAAGCACGTGTCTCAAAGGATCTCCATCCCTCGCCCCCGGAGAGGGCTGGTGCCCTTTTGCCCTCTGCAAAATGGTTCCGGGCTTCTGATTTTGCGCAAAAGCGCGCTGCCAATGTAGACACGCTTTTGTGCAAAAGCGCATCGTTATAACGATAACTCCGTGCCAATCTAGACACGCTTTTGTGCAAATACTTTTAACGGAAAAACGTTTCCGTTAAAAGTATTTGCGCAAAATCATGCCAGTCTAGGCGTAGCCTATATGTGCCCTCCACCAAACTATTGTAGCCAGCTGCCCTGGGTCTGTCACAGCTCTAATTTCTTTTCTCCTGCACTCAGAACAGGCTTGATCAATATGAATTATTTTAAAATTTCACCTTTGTCACTGATAGACATTTTTTCCCTCTGAGTTCTTCATTTATTTCAAAATGTGTTTATGTAAGTTAAGAAAAACAAATGAAATGCCTCAGTTAATTATGCCACTATTTCTTCCAGTAAAGTCTGAATGCTTAAGCAAATTCACACTAATGCATCTGTGAGTGAATATTGCTAAAAGAACCAGCTGAAAACAATATATTCAGTTTCTATACCTCTTAAAATATCTAAAGGAACTAACTTTTATTATAAAAATGTTTCCTTCATAATACCAGGGCGCACAATTATGGAAATCTAAACATGTAGAAATCCTCTTTTCCACATTGGTTTTTGATCCAAGGTATGCAAAGTCCCTTCATGTTCTGTTTTGATACTTGTTTAGATATTGTTAATACATATCATCTTTGTGTATATCTATGTTATAATTTGAAGAAGAATTTGGGAGTAACTGATGTACACATTTTTTAGAAAATTTTGTTTTAAATACTTGCTATGATTTACTTTGCTGTTTTGGAAATTTGCATTGTAAAATACGATTAGCTTTTTTTAATAGGACAGGAAGGATGATCCAGTAGTTAGGGCACTAATGTGGAACTTGAGACATAGACTTAGTTCTCTGCTCTGGTACAGACTCACTGTATGAATTTTGGGAAGTCATTTTGTGTCTCTCTCACTTCCTCATCTCCCCAAGAGTACTGTGAGGTATAATGATGATTATGTACACTAAAGGTTTTGAGGTGCTCTGATACTACAGTTATGGGAACTATATAAGTAGATGTATTGTAAAGGTCTTAGATAATAAAGTGTTGAAGAGACTAGAGGTAAAAATTCAACATTTCAGGTATTGTAAAGGTCTTAGATAATAAAGTGTTGAAGAGAATAGAGGTAAAAATTAAACATTTCAGAAAGAAAATATAGGCAGTCCCCGAGTTATGCGGATCCGACTTATGTCGGATCCGTACTTATGAATGGGGCTTTTCTCGCCCCGGAGGATGCGGGGGCGGGGGGACTGCCCAGACACGCCGCGGTCCCGCTGCCTGCGGCCTCCGGGGTGAGAAAAGCTTCTCTGCGTCTCCCTGGTCTGAGAGAAAAGCTTCTCCGCGTCTCCCTGGTCTGAGGCCCCCCCCAGGGAGACGCGGAGAAGCTTTTCTCACCCCGGAGGCCGGAGGCAGCGGGACCGCGGCGTGTCTGGGCAGTCCCCCCGCCCCCGCATCCTCCGGGGCGAGAAAAGCCCCATTCGTAAGTACGGATCCGACATAAGTCGGATCCGCATAACTCGGGGACTGCCTGTACATACAAACAGATAAGCAAGACACTTTGTGAGCATATAACACGGAAAGAGAGCTTAAGCTCGTATTGCAGTACAAGTAAAAAGCATTAAAAGCCTGATTTTGGCAATAGGAGATTCTGGTGGATGAGAGAATTGTTAGTTAAATCTGGATAGTCTGAACTATCAAGTACTGTAGTAAGGATACAGGCGTCAGAAATAACTCAAAGGAAGAGAGGGAGTATGGAAATACCAGGACCAAATACATGAGATTGGAGGCATATGGCTGAGTCTTTGAGGCCCCTTTTTGTGAACATGGCATTAATGAAAGACAAAAAAGTACTCAGTTTGTGACTATCATGTCGTCTGTATTACTGAATAAAAACTAAAAGAAATCAATGACAATGGGCCGGTTATAGGCTTCCTGGATAACCATAAAAAGATGAAACGCTTCAGTCAGAAGAAGTGCAGTGTGTTTAAACTGGCATCTTGTGATGGGGTTGCTTGAGTTGGTTCTGGCTGAGTAAGGTCTTTGTCCAAAGTTGACTCAAGTCAAAAGAAAGACTCTGCACAGCTTTTCAAGATAGTTTCTGGCTTTTTTCCCTCTTCTCATAAGGCAAACAACTATTAAATGCACTTAGTGTCACTTTTATAGTGGTAATACAGTTTTTATTTTCTTTCATATTCTGATCTTGTGCCTAATCTGTAGATTATTTGAGAAATAATGTGTCTTGCTGCAGCTGGAATGTAGTTAACAATTCTTCTTGATGAATGAATCAGAATATAACCCAGTTCTCTCTCCATTAGCAGTGTTGATTTTGCAGTGCTCATAGGAGTTAAAAGCAATAAGAGCTGTCAGTAAATAAGATTGATTAAAGTCTCTGCAAAAAAAATGAGATCTCTTGAATGAGAGTGCACTTTTGATATGTTTTCCTGCATAACTGCACTTCAAGAAACATCATCGGAGGTGATGGTTCTCTGCTGGGTCCTGGAGTTCTAGGGCTCTCCCCTGTCACCCCCTGGCCCAGCCTTGATCCTTCTCTGTAGTTTGAGTTTGTGTTCCCTGCTCAGCACTAGGGATGTTAAAGACTAGTCCACTATCCGATAAGCATATGCTTATCGGATAGTTTTTCCTGCATAACTGCACTTCAAGAAACATCATCGGAGGTGATGGTTCTCTGCTGGGTCCTGGAGTTCTAGGGCTCTCCCCTGTCACCCCCTGGCCCAGCCTTGATCCTTCTCTGTAGTTTGAGTTTGTGTTCCCTGCTCAGCACTAGGGATGTTAAAGACTAGTCCACTATCCGATAAGCATATGCTTATCGGATAGTCTTTTGACTAGTCGATTTTACCTTCTCCCCCTCCCCCGCCTGCTGACTGTAGGCCTCAGGGAGCCTGGGATCAGCTGGGCAGTCCCCAGTTGACCCTGGGCTCCCCACAGCATTTCTGCGCAGCGGATCAGCTGTGCGGTGGCTGCCCCTTTAAAAAATCACCTCCACACATTTCAAAGAGGCAGCAGTGGAGCCCAATGTCAGCTGAGGACTCCCCGCGTTCCACAGCAGCTGCCCCTTTGAAATGCCAGAGGCTGCCCTTTTGAAATGCTGTGGATCAGCTGTGTGGCGGCTGCCCCTTTAAACGCCACTTCTCGTGTTTCGAAGGGGCAACTGCCGTGGAGCCCAGGAGCTGACTCTAGGTTCTGGGGAAATGCCACTCAGAGCCCGGGATCAGCTGGGGAGTCCTGATCCCGGACTCTGCGGGGCACTTCCCCAGAACCCTTGGCTCTTGGGCTACATCTACACTACAAGTTTTGGCAAAAAATATGTTAATAAGCAGGGCTCGCCAAGCGGCGGCGAGCCCCACTCGCCAGCCACACAGTTCGGCACGCTGCGCATGCTCAGACCATGCTGCGCATGTGCTTATCGCACTGCATGGCTGTGCCGGCTTGTAATCTATTTTCCACGGGCGAGTAGATTACACTAATTGTCAAGCCCTGCTAATGAGACTAATTTGCATGAGTCATGATCTTGTTTGCATATTTTCTGCTGATCCTTTTTGCGGTAGGTGTTTTTGCATAAAAACAAGCAGTGTGGATGTTTTACTTTGCGCCAAAACCCCTTTTTCCGCAAGATTGGTATACCTCCTTTTTGGGGGCATAAGGATGCAGCGGGGGCTCTTGTACATTTCAAAGGCGGAATGTGGAAGTGCCTATCGACTAATCGATGGAAATTCCATTGACCAGTTAATTAGTCAATTAACCGCATTTTAACATCCTTACTCAACACTCCTTCTGGGGAGACAGAGCAAATATACTGTTGATTCTCAGGCTGATCTTAAAGACTCTCTAACCCACAATATAGTAACTAGTATCCATGAAAAGTGGAGAAATGAACACATGCAAGCATGCCTGAAAATGCTCAGAGAATATTTCTGGTTGGATAAACTTACAAACTAGATATAGGACCTTGAATGTGATTCAGTCCAAAAAACTTGTGAAATTGTAAACATCTGGAAAGTTTCTGTTATTCCAGTTAAAGATTGTATTGCACATCCTGCGCCAAAATGCTTTGTTGCTAAGTACAGATGGAAGCTTCAGACTTGAGCTAGGTTGGTCAAACTGATGAGAGAAGTGGGTGGAAAATTCTCATCTTGTTGTGGCAAGGATATAAAATGTCTTTTTTCCCTAAAACCGCAGTTGCAGTTGTTTTTAATTCCACTTGTTTCATGTTTAAAAATAATATTTAATTTGACGATCCTGGATACTAATCTTAAATTAGTTGAAGAGTCATGTGAATCAAACTTCTAACTTCCTTTTCAGCAATAAATTGGAGTCCGATTCAGTGACAGCTATGCTGCTATAATTAGTGTGCTTTCCTGAGGCAGGGAAGATTGATGTCTACCATTTGAGAAATAGGTGTACAATGTTAGTGAGGTTTTTTTATACACTGATACAGATTTGTTCTCCCTAGTCTGCAACTTTACCTTAACATCTAATGTGTGCTTTGGGTTTTTCCCTCACTGATTCAGGCATAACTTACATAATAAAGTGCTTTGTTTCAATCTTTTGTTAACTAAGCTGTCTTTTTATCAGATCTGTACCTGAAACTGGAAGATGTTACCCGAAAGTTTAATAAACCGTGTATAATGGATGTGAAAATAGGCCAGAAAAGTTATGATCCATATGCTTCAGCTGAGAAGATTCAACAACAGATCAGCAAGTACCCATTAATGGAAGATATTGGGTTCTTGGTGCTGGGCATGAGGGTAAGACTTAGTCTTTTGTCGTATTCAAGTTCAGTTTATGCTCTGATCGATTGCCAAGAATTAACAAGATTTAACAAGTAGTTTTTAAAAACACACTTCTATTGCTCTTGTGTCATTAAAATGTTATCTGAGTAAATTCATGAGTACTGATATGTCATATAAAATGTATTTAAAACCAAAACTAATATTTAAAGCAAGCGTTTGTACAATATTCCTTCCAAGATCTAGCCTTACATTGAAAATGGAAATGAGAATGATATAGAAATTTGTCAAACTAGAAATTGGTTGTTTTAAAACTGAATTTAAATGTCCCACTAGCCTTACATTGAAAATGGAAATGAGTATGATATAGAAATTTGCCAAAGTAGAAATTGGTTGTTTTAAAGATGAATTTAAATGTCCCCAAGATTTATTTTTCACTCGTTATATAATTTATGGGGATTATCAAAGCAATTTTCCCTTAAAAATAATTTATAAACAATGTATTAGTTACTTTGCATAGTAATAAGTCCACATTTTAATGTGTTTTTATTATTTTGGTACATGAAAAATAAAAATATTTAAAAATAGAATGTTTTCATGGAACATCTTGTCAGTAATATACACATTAAGACAGCTTTTGGCTTTGCTTTCAACACTATAGATCCATCATGTAAATGTCTACATTAGCTCAATTCTGCACACGAATAGTCCAATAGTCAGCTGTACTCATGTACAGTGAAGAACATGCTTAAGTGTTTGCAAGGATCAGAGCCTAAGATATTAAATAAAAACAGATGCTATATTTTCTGAGATGAAAAGAAATTTGATGTTGAAATTTCAAAGAAATTTGTTGTACATGGACAGATGCACACATTACAATCTGTTTTTTTTAAATGTTTTATTTATGCTTCTAATACTTTCTGAATTTTCAGTTTTTACTATTAACAATAAACAAAGTCACATTTTTTTGGCATTGTTGGACTTTAGTTCATGAAGATATTGATTAGATCATGTGGAGAGACACGTGGTGCACTCCATCACCAAAGACAGTGCTCTACAGCCTGATTGACTTTTTTATCTTCACGATTGTTTCAAATAGGAATTTTTTCTCCCCTATCCATGTCTTTCTTCCGGTTTATAGAAGTAACATTTCTTTATATTGCCAAAACACTTTCCAACCCCTTTGCACTAATTATTGAGCTCATGACAGAGACTGATAAACTAAAATAATTGACAAGGATTTTACTTACAAACATTTTTGCTCGTTTTTACTAATATGAGGTAATTTTGAATAGATTAATTGCATCAGTCTTTCCTTCACGATCATGTTTTGGTGTTGATCCAGAGGGTCTAAACTACACTTCTCTGTCGGCGGAGAGATGTAAATTAGATGTATCGAAAATGCAAATGAAGTGGGGATTTAAATATCCCACGCTTCATTTGCATAATGTTGGCCGCCACTTTTTTTGAAACGGGGCTTTTTTTTAAAAAAAAAAGGCAGTTTAGATGGGGCATTTTCGATAGAAATGCCCCATTTCAAAAGATCCCCACTTCATTTGCACTTTCGATACGTCTAATTTACATCCCTCTGCTGAAAGGGGTGTAGTTCAGACTGAGTCTTAGTGTAATACCAAAGAATTACTCTGGGGAGAAAAAATAATATAGACCATGATGCTGCTCCTTGTTACTTATGTTGGGGACCAAAAATGCACGTTGAGACTTGTTCTTGAGTATAGATGGATAATCTATTCATGATCGGTAGTCTCCTAATCTGAAATTTTGATTTGTTAGTTTCTGATGTGTGCATTTGCTTACGCTTTAATGGACTGAGGGAAACAGAGTAGGCAAAAAGTAAATACAAAAAAAAATCACTAGTTTCTTGAGTACTGTATTGAGTGTGTTCTCTATCAGAAGCAAACTTTTCAAACACCAACCACTCAAGCCTTTGTATACTTGTATCTAAATAGAAACTCAGTGTAATGCATGTTTGAGATGGGAGAAGGGAAGGCTGGGGTTACAGACCTTTAGAACATCAGAGCTAAACTGCTGCATCTTTTTTTCTCATCCTTGCCTGTCTCACTCCAGGTTTAAAATAAGGCTTTTTTCACTTATATTATTACTAATCCTGGAAAATGTACTTGTAACGATCTTGCACAATTTCCCTTTATACTGAAATGTTAAGCTGCTTATTCTGGATCATGAAGCATTTTGCTCTCAATTCTATAAACCAGATCATGATTTTGGAGTGCATTTAAAAACTAAGCTTTATAGCTTTGGGGGCAACAGAGAGCTCCTTTGCATTAGAAGAACTATTGCATGCACTTAGATCTTCCCTAATCTTCTCTATACAGTAATTTTGTACATCGATTGACATGTTTTGTTGCAGCCTATCAACCAGATTATCCTTTTCAGCAAGACTTTATTTTTCTATGGATTTACTACACATTTCAATTTGTCATGCATTTTTTGTATGTGTTTATAGTAGATGAAAAGTGTTACTCCTCGAATCATAGAATATTAGAATTGGAAGGGACCTTGAAAGATCAAGTCCAGTCCCCGGCAGTCATGGCAGGACCAAGCACCATCTTGTTCCGTGGTATCTAAGACACTAGCCACTAGCCACACATGGCTGTTTGACCAGTTGAATGTGGCTAGTTTCCTATAGCTTCTGCTTCAGAGCTGGTTGGATACCATGGATCTAGAACATCCCTGACAGATGTTTAACTAACCTGTTCTTACATATCTCCAATGATGGACATTCCATAACCTTCTTCAGCAACCCCCCTGACAGAAACATTTTCCTAATGCCCAACCTAAACTTCCTATGCAGCAATTCATACCCATTACCGCTTGTCCTATCATTAGAGGTTAAGGAGAACAATTTTTCTCCCTCCTCCTTGTAACACCTTTTTAGGTGCTTGAAAGCTGCTATCATGTCCCCGCTTGTTCTCTTTTCCAAACTTAACAAACCCTTTTCTTTCAGTCTTCCCTCATGGGTCATGTTTTCTAGACCTTTTATCATTTTTGTTACTCTTCTCTGGAACTTCTCCAATTTCTCCACATCTTTCTAGAAATGTGGTACCCAGAACTGGGTACAGTACTCCAATTGAGGCCTAATCAGTGCAGAGTAGGGCAGAAGAATTACTTCTTATATCTCCCTTATTAGTTATGTACCCCCCTTGCTACTCCCTGACTGAATTGACCTCATTATCTCTAGCCTTACTTTTGATTAGAACTCTTTTTTTATGCTAGCCCCATCTATGTTTTATTTCCATAGTTTATTAATAAGGTCACGCAAGACTGTAGCATGTTTTACTAAAGTCTAGATATAGCACATCTACTACTTCTCTCTTACTCCCAACGCTTCTTATCTTATCAGGTTGGTTTGTCATGATTTGTTTCTGATTTGTTACTCTTGTTGTCTTCATTTTGTTTTCTCATTGTTTTTCTTTACATTCTGTTAATTGCTAATTAATGAGGTTCTACTTTATTTTGTTGAGTGGGATGGCCTGTTACTATTTTACATTATATTTCTTTGGAATAGTTTTTCTGAGATCTTTTGGGGAAATTTTGAAATTTCTGCTGTCCCAGCTAATTTCTCTATGGCTATGTTATGGACAGGTAGTACTTTCGTAACAATATATAAGAAACTGTGCAGGAAGAATAAAATGACTAAGCTGAAGCAATTGGATTCCAGTCCCAGAAGGAAGGATGGAGATTACAGCTCTGCTGGAATGTGGCTTTTTAAACTATTATTGTTCTTGTTATATAACCTCTCTTTTCTGATCTGTAAAACACTATAGTTTGTGTTTGTATAGTTCACTGACAGTGTAAATAGAATGCTTATTTTTACATTATTTTATAGTTGTGACAGCTAGTGTTTACATTCTGTCGTTAATTGAGGTAGTCTTATTCACATGGAAAATTCGTTCCACTTCTTTCAGTTATCTTCACAACTGTAGTTCATCTGCGCACCAGGCTTTCTTTGTCTAGTGGCATTGCAATGCTGTATCTGGATTGTGTACAAAAGTGGCAGGGTAAAATAGAATTTCTGTTTTGTACTTATGTGTACATTTGTTGTCTAATACTCAGCTGATAAGGGATTCACAAGACTTTCCCCCCATACCCCAAACTCCCATGATTGGTTAAGTTTTTCCTGTGTTCCTGTTTTATTTTTGGTAAAGAGCTGATTTTAACTGAATACTTGCTTATGCAGTCATCTCTCATGTAATATGCCAGCTGTTGGGTGCAAGGGTGTTACCCTCTGATAGAGAAGCTGATAAACTAAGGGCATTATAATAAAGAAAGTAGGCATTTCCTTGTTCTTCAAGAATGATGATCTCGAATAATAAAAATTGTTGAATAATTCAGTAGATTGCAGAGAAGTGCTTTCAAGGATCATGTTTTTAGTTTCATCAGCCAAGTTACCAACCATGCTAAATATCTCTTGGCTTTAATGTACCTGGAAGGGCAATTATGAGGAAAGATCTAGAGACATTGAATTTGTGCGATTGTGAATAATTCAAGTTACATGCCATACAGAATAGGCTTTGCAAAACGAAACATTTTGAGAGCCATTAGGTGAAGGATAGGAAGTAGGGAATCCATAGGGGATTTTTCTCTTGTGTAGTGGTCTACACAAAAAAAGAGCTAGAGAGGCAATTCCTTAGAGCAGGGATTCCCAAGCTGTGGGCCCTGACAATTTTAGGTGGTCCACCGGAATAACTATATTATCCAATCAGGCTCTTAATACTTTGACTCATGTAATGTAAGTAAAATCTATATAAATGTAATGTTTTGAGGTGGATATGTTGGACAGAGTACAGAAAAAAAAACGTATATTAAAAAAAAAAAAAAACCAAGCCACAGCATGTTTTAATTATCACAAGTACAGAGGTACATATCACTGCAAGATAACCTAGCAACATATAGCCCATTTACAACTGTAAAAAATGGCAAACAGTATTTCAGTCTGGCATGAATTTAACATAGGGCTGTCAAGTAATTAAAAAATTGGA